TTGGAGTGCTGAGATTAAGGTACATCTGGCTGAGATACAATTTCTTACAGAGAGGAAGGGTAATAATATTTTAGATCTGTAATTCATAAAGTAGTCAAAACTGCATTTAAACTCTTTTAATATAATTAATGCATCACATTTAAAGAGAGGAAACTGAAATTTTAAAAAGTACATACCAGTGAGCTCATTAATTTTCTTGAGAAGTTGTTGAATGTCATCCTCAACCTGCTTGATCTGCCTAGAGTATGTGCTCTGACCCTAGGCGAGGATGATCAGTTTAATGAGAAGTTAGGACGGCAACAATTTCTTAAACATCAAATCAAACAACCAAAATTCTAACAGCCTTTTTATCCCACAGCTTGTGAAGTAAAAATGTTTCATTTTCAGAAGATTTTCTAAGCCAACTATTTCCTCCAAACAGATAACCCATCGTGCAAGATAACAAAGAAAAATAGGCCTATTTTTATGTGTTTAAACTTTCCATTTCAGAATTGTGGTTACATATTAATTACTAACATCCGTGCAAATCATTTTAAATCTATTTCAACATAGAACCACACTTTATTGAAAAACAGTATAAATACAATGGATAAGGTCAGGCATGCTGAAATAACTTCTGCTCTATTCTCAGCAGGAACTTTAGGTAGGCAACTTCAACGAAAATTATTATGAACTGCTAGAAATTCTCTTCTAATTAGTTTGGAAGGATAAAACCAAATAGTTTTTAAGATATAACATCTAATTTAAAGGACTTACATAAGTTTTCAGCAAGGCAATATCCCCCTCATCTAGAGCTGAAAGAGAAACAATACATAAGAGTTGGTGAGAACCGAGAGCTGATCAGCTTTTCTGTTCCATTCAAATTGGTTTTTGCTTCTGTCTTGTGGTACTGGAATTAAACCCAGTCTTCACACTGAACTATATCCCCAATCCTTTTTTCATTTTTCATTTTGAAATGCAATGCAGTCATTAAAAATAATAACACATGACATTGCTTACATAGAAAGCTATTCCACAAGTACCATTTTGAAAGAGGCAGGTTAAAAACAATTTTTTTAAAAATACAGAAGGTGCACATAAATTGCTATTAATTGCATCAACTGCTGCTTTCTAAATGTTAACTGGGATCTCAAGTGATTTATACTCAGTCCTCTTTAATGGATTCCTCATTTGCTGAGCTGCCTGTCTCTAAAGTTTATTTGTGACTCCCACATCAACACTCATGTGCTTTTGTAGCCATCTGTGAACACACAGAGTGCCCTCTTGTCTCCATGCTCATCCAGAGATGATGGGCAATGTGATGTCATCGACAGGGAATGTGTGAGCAGGGCAGCCTCAGCAAGCCAGTGACACTTCTGTTTTCTCTTTTATGGCCATAAAGAGACATATTATATGAATATGCAGCATTATTTATGTAACAGTAGAAGCAAGAGGGCTGGGGATTTAGCTCAGTGGTTCAGGCACCTGCCTTGCAAGCAAAAGGACCCAAGTTAGATCCCCGGTACCAAAAACAAACAAAAACAACAACAAAAAAGAGTCAAAGCAAGAAAAGCATGTTTAATTAAGTAACAGCAGCTAGACCAGTTTAGCTGCCACTGGTATACCTGGTAGGGAACAGCAGGAAATTAGGCACACAGTTGGAGGTCTGGGGCCTTGGTGAGGCAACCCAGAATGCCGAAAGTTCCCAAAGGCCATGGCATGGCTTATCATATAGCGGAACCGGATGTGAGGAAGAATTAGCTAAGACACAGAGAAAAGACTCGTACCTGAGGCCAGAGAGAGGTCACACAAACCTCACATAGGATGGTGACAGTGAAAAGAGAAAGCAAAGGCTGGGGGAAAGACCTCAGAGGAGGAATGTATAGCACATGGCAACTGACTATTCGCGTGGAGCCGAGGGTAAGAAGAATCAAACACTATACCCAGGCTTTGTCCTGGGTACCTTGGAGGAAGGTGGCACCTTCTTGTGGAAGCAGAAAAGTCACAGAGAAACTGTTGGAAGAGGGAGACACCAGTAACATTTGGAACTTGAACTGCAGAAAATGTAACATAGCAGACATGGCTGCTACCTTTTGAAAGGCCTGCTTACAAGTCCAGCCCCTGAAAATCCCTTCTGGGAGAGTTTCCACCGTTCCCAAAACTGCTAAAGAGTAGTTCACTGAGCCTAAACTATAAAACAGCTTGGTTTATGCCTAACACCTGTTTTCCTTCTGAGACTCTAAAATCTGGGTATGTGTTAGGCAGAGCCTGCCCACATGAGGAGCTCTCAGCTATAACTGAGTCTCTAACAAACTTCCCTCGGTGGTAATATTTTACACGTCAAAAATTACGGTGGGGGCCAGGCGTGGTAGTGCGCGCCTGTAATCCCAGCACTTGGGAGGCTGAGGCAGGAGGTTAATTGTGAGTTCGAGACCAGCCTGAGCTACATAGTTCCAGGTCAGTCTCAACTACATAGTGAGACCCTAGCTCAAAACAAACAAACAAACAAACAAAAATTATGGTGGGAAAAATCAGGCGCATCCTGTGTAATTCTACCAGAAGACAAACTTTGGAAATTTCTCCTGGATTTGCCCTGGACTTCGTCTCATGTCGCTTGTCTGGTCTTTGATGGTTTTGCTTTGTGCCCTTTTGCTGTAACAAATCACAGTCATGAGGCTAACTGTACGCTAACTCCTGTGGCTCCTAACAAATTAGTGAATCTGGGAGTAGTCACAAAACAGCACATCTCAGTGCAACAACCTAGAAGGCTCTAGAGTTCAGGTGTCGGCATGAAGTAAAAAAAAATTGATTAGCGAACCATATTGGAGAATAGACAGTCCAAAATGAGAATAGATGAAATTATCATAAACAAACCTTTACAAAAACCATGTGAGGATGTTATGAAGAGAAGATACATTTAAAGAAGTGTCATGTAAGAGAATCAAGGGAGAGCTACGTTAATGTCAAAAACACAAAGATCCAGATTTGAGGAAATACTAAAGATCTGGGAATTAAGAAAACACTAATCAGTTTCAACATATTTCCAGGCACAGAAACCAAACTGCAAGGGAATTTATACATGAAGTAAGCAGTGAAGTAATGGACACAGTGGACAGAATAGTAATAACAGCTACCATTTACTGAAATATTCACTGTATGAGACACTGATTAGAGACAAATATATTCACAGAAATGCTACTTAATCATATCTACGCTTATAAAGTGAATAGTTATTTTCACGTCACACGAGAAAAAAAAAGTGATCTGACCATTATTACACAGCTAATAAGAAGTAAAGTCAAGTTTCAGACTTCGGTCTTCTTAACTCCCAAGCCCATCTTTTAGCCACTTTTAGGTAGCAAAAGAAAAAAAAAATGGGTTGTAGTTTGATTTTCCAAACTGACTGTGTTTTGAAGATAAAATGAATGGGAAGTACCTTACCCAGTTTTTTTGTGACTTATTTGAACAACACTGGCAGCCTACAGACAGAAAGAGACAAGAAACAAAGGCATTCTCAAAATTAAAGAGGGGAAGAGCCAAAAGTGCAACAAGCAAAGACAGGGATGCTAAATGTGCTGTGGCAAAATACAATGGTCTGAGCTAGGAAACGATAGACAACAGACTGAAGGACAGATAGACAGACAGGGCAGGTTAAGGTTTGGTGGTAACAAAGACAGCAGAGCAAAAAGGTGGAATGGGAGGAAAAATGGGAAGTTTGATATTTTAGAAGTGAAGTAGCTTCCTTCAACAAGATAGACTAATAGTGATCCCTCCTTTGTGACAACAGTGCAGCAATGCTGGAAATCAACAGAAGTGAAGTGATCAAAGATCATTAACATAACTGAAGACATTTAAAATGACACCACAAAACAAAAAAACAGGGGGCCAAAACAACACGGGGATCAAACAACCTGGGGGCTAAACCTGAAAAGGTCATGTATTTTTTATTCCAGGTAACCCTGGGAAAACTATTTGATCTCTTTGAATGTTAGTTTCATCATTTGAAAAATTGAGATACAATTAGTTTTACCTTCGCAGTGTTTCTATAAAGATCAATTAAGACAGAGATGAAGCACACACATTTCTAAGTAATTATCATTGTACCCAAGAAATACATTTATTAATAACTTTACACAGTAGCATACCCAGACAAACACAGATCAAATACTAAATTTCTGGGACTAAAGCTTTGCTACAGGTACTGGGTACCCTTGAGGTTTTCAGTGTTCTAAAACACTTTTCGGGAAATAAGATTGGGTTGAAGACAGAGAGGAAATCCTCTTTCTTTGAGGAGAGGATGTAAGTGGTGAAGGAAGTATGGTGCTAAGAGAGGTTTAAATTATTAAAAGAAAGATAAAGTAAAGGCAAAGATATTTTTAAAACACTAGCCACAGTTTGCTTATAAGGAGCAAAAGGAGAAAATGGCATAAAGATGAGACTACAAAAGGTGTTATTAGGGAGAAATCTTGTCCAAAAGTGGTGGGTACACCTCAGGCACACTGTGAGTGAAAATACATTAACAAGTATGTGAGGAGTAATTTGGCACTGTCAAAACTACAGCTCCACTTGTAGAATTTACCTCACACTCCACGTGGTAAAAGTCACATAAACAAGGTGCTTCATAAAGGTGAGAGACTGGAGAAATCTACATGCTCCTCAATGGCTGATTAAATACTGTATTATTGTACACCCATAAAACTGGATAATATGCAGATACAAAGAAACAGATTACATAACGACATAAAATGATTTCCAAAATAAATTAAGATTTTAAAAAATGTTGAGGTATGTATAAGAAGGCTACATTTATGTAAAAATGTCTAGTGTAATGGAAAATGGCAACAGGAGCCGCCAGTGCGGTGAAGCTGCAGGCTAGATCAAGGACAGGAGGCTTTTTGAATGTCACCTTCTCTGATCTTGAGTTTTGAACCATGTGAACGTACTATCTAGTCAAACACGTAATTTTAGTCAGCTCTGTCCGAGGTCTGGCTATGCAGTGACGGACCAAGCGCGCTGGGCGCGAGGAGTGGACGAGGCTCAGGAAGCAGCAGCGCCAGGAGAGAGAGGAGACCTAACTTCAAGGCCGACGGCTGCGAAAGGTAAAAACTCCAATTGGGAGCAGAGGAGCACAGGGCTGGAGTGGGATGAGGGGGAGAGAGCGGACAGACCCGGGACGGCTGTCCGGGGAAATCTCTAGCGTCGCAACCAGACGGAGCCCGAGCCAGGCGAGAACCCAGCTCCGCGCTCGGGCCGTGCCAACTGACCTCGGATGGGCTTGTCGTCCTTCTCATCCTCTTTGGTTTTCCGTTGATCGGCGCCGAGGTAATCCGGCATTTTAGGAGATGAGAGCGCTTCAGCTCTTTGGTGATTACACAGCACCTTGCTCGCTTCCGAGGTTGCCTTCCCTTTTCCCTTCCCCACCGGAAGTAGAAACCGGCTTGGCCTCTTCCCACTGTGCCCGAGAGGCGGAAGCGCTCCGTGGGACTTGCAGACTCCCAGGTCCGGCGTAGGAAGGTTCCCGCTGTCAACAGGAAGGAATGCTCGCTCCACCCCGACCTTCACGGTCTCAGATCGCTGGAGAGCCCTGATTAGTAAATTCCCTGAGCAGCCCTGGCTCAGTCGATGAGTTTAAATCCTAGTTTAATCATTTATTTACTGTGAAATATTGGGCAGCTTGGATAATCTCTTGAATTTTAATTTGTCCTTCACCGCACAGGGTTGGGAAGGCATTAACACTTTGTGAAATGGCAGGTGTTTCGGCACAAGGCCCGGAGACTAGAGCTACAAATCAAGTGACGGTAACATCTCTCCTAAGGAGTTAATATCCGGAGTATACACAAAACTACAACGCAATTGCAACAAAACAGTATGACTTTAGAGATGAGCAAAGAAAAAAACCCAAAGAAATAAAGGAAAAGATGGGTAAAAAGCCTGAATAGACATTTCTCCAAAGAAGACATACAAATGGAAGAGAGAAAAGGGGAGGTAAAAAGAAGATGTGTTGCGTTCAGGTACCAACTCCGACGATGAATACAGTCATTATGTGCTGCAGACGTGGACTAACAGGTTTATATGTCGATCCATAAATACTGGGGGCACAAGAGATACACAGACAGCCATCTAGCACATAAAAGATGTTCAACGTTTTTAAGAAACTACAAATCAAAGCTATCTTATACTATTAGGATGGCTACTATCTGAAAAGAAAACGAGATGAAATACCTAGTGTGGATAAGGAAAAGTAGAATGTGTGCGCCATTAGTAAAAATGTAAAATGATGTGATGGTTGAAAAGTATGGTTCCTCAAAAAATAAAATAAAAACAGAAGTACTATATGATCTAGCAATTCCATATATACACATGTATATCCTATGATATTGTGAGCAGGATCTCAGATAATTTGTACACACAGGTTCATAGGTATATTATTCATAGTAGCGGTTACAGTAACCAAACCCCAGAGTCCTGTAATTGGAAATATCTTGAGAGGGAAAAAATACCTTAATTCTCTTAGATCAGGGTAAAAATTTTGCTGCCATTGGAACAAAACCTAACACTCTATTCTCTTCTCCAAATGAGTATCAGAAGGCATAATGCAGGTAAATTAGCACTAGCACGACAAATGTTAGCTGTTCCTTTTATTGTTATGGTAAACCCACAAGCATCACAGGAATACATCCATAATTAGGGATGTATATACACACAGGGATGTATCATCGATAGTAGTTCCAACGCGACTCTTCATTTTTTCACGTATACAAATACATCTGCTGGAAAATTTAAGTAGGTGGAGACAGCTACATAAAGTAATAGAAATTTTAAAATAAAATATGAAAGGAGCTGATTTCACTGATTGTGTTGGGGATTAACCCAGATCTTCGCTCACGCGAACTTATTTTGTTTTATTTTTGAGCTGCTTTTATTAATTCTCTTCTACATAACCACTTTGGAAAAGAGAGAAACTGGACAGGAGTTTTCTTCCCACGGGAACCGACGACCCTAGGAACCGTTCCTTCGTACACCTTTATCTGCAGTCGGATCCGAGTCAGTGGCGGAACCCGGCCGCCTCACACGTTGGCGCGTAAGGTGGGGGTGAGATTGGCGGCCGCACCACGAAAGACCCATCCCGGAAGTGCTTACGAGTCGTCTCCACGCGCCGGTTCCTGGGCGTCGGAACTCCTAGGCGCGAGGCTC